CGCTTTTCGTTAGTACAGCCTCTTACAACTAGAACTTCTTTGCGAACCTCTAATCGATGTCTCTGGCAGGTTCCCTTGTTAAAACGTAAAACTACTAGATCTTCATTTTTACCAAAACTATAAAAGACTGGAATCAATTACCAAGAGAAGTGACTGCTGCCTTTAGTGCTCGAGCTTTTAAACGTGCATTAAAGAAACATCTTGTTTCTTAGAGTAGTTAATAGTACATACTAAGCCATATTCTATTTACTGTGCCATTTTCTTTTTCTACTGTTCAAACTGTTTTTGTTTTATATCTCTTTTTTGTTTTTTGTTTTTTACTGGGGAGGCCTAGACAAGTTCCTTGTTGAACTTTTGTCATTACCCTGTCATTTTATTAACACCATAGACTAAAATAAATTGATTGATTGATAAATAACTGATAACTACTGCGAATGAACCTACTTCAAACCCACTTCTTTAGAGTTGTTAGATGCTCCTTGTATTTGATAAAACAAGTTGATTTTTTAATGTTGTTTTCAGAAATAAAAATTTCAGATAAAATGATGAATCAAATAATCGAATAGAATGCAGAAGGCTTTATCAAATACGTTTTTTACACTGGTAGAACAAACATGGTAGAGTCATTTAGATGGGAACACTGATTATGCTCATTTCCGACAAGACAATTGAAAAAGGCACATTTGACCTTCGATACTTTTTGAGTTTTCAATCGCTTGACTTTCGTCATGCAAAAGCGTTTCTAGTTCTTTATTCATCTGTTTTTACCATAAATAAAGTCTTGGTAAACGACTAGCTAGAGTAATGTCTACGACAATGCTCGCCTTAGAGATTTTTCGATTATATAGAGAGTATCCAAAAGCTCCACCAGACAGCCTATAGGAATGAATCTTTTATTCTGGTTTTGAAGTTTGACTGTGCTTTCCACTTAATAAATGTCATTCTTTTTAAACAAATTTTCTTCTTGACAATTTTTTAACAAAATATTTGTCGTGATTATATTCGGAGTAGACACTCAATCGAAAGGTGAACGGCTCATTCTTCTTTAATGTACGATAGCAAAACCTTATCACAGATTGTGGCTTAATGTAGCACAGTAGAAAAGGATTTTAGATAACAAACTCTTCCTTCGGTGCCTAATGGTACTGAGTATAATACATTTTTCAGTTACCAAAATATTTTGAGAAAAATGGAATTTCAGAATTTAAAATTATTTAAAAACTAAAAAATCCAGTTTTCCCAAAACCTTTCAGTTACACTGAAAAAAGTAGTCCGATATATGAAAGAAACGAACGAATTGGTACACTGCAAAATAGTGTTAAGTCCACTCCAGAAATTTTTTGTAAATGAAACTTCGATATCGTGTAGAATATTTCCTAAACTTGAATGTACTTTTGTTGATGGTTCAGTGTTGGAGTTTGGATATTCCGATGAATTTGATTTATAGTCGCGGTTTCTCCGTATCAAATGCAAAATCTTGTACATTCATATCACGACGAAATACTAGACGTCTAGTTGGAACTAATGGTACAAAATGATCGTACAGCAGTTTCGGTAATGGTACCCATTCATGTCGTTCAGAATGAACCATAGTGTGTGGAACTGATGGTGGTAATGTATCAGTGAACGACGTGTCTGTATCTATATACTCTAAATCTTTTACATTTATAGCCGCTGGTGGAGGATTATGATTCACCATGCCAGATTGTTCATCGTTATTATCAAAATGCCATGGTGGTTCAATATAATTGTATGGATAATTAATATATCCGTACTTTATTAGATTTATCTTGCTTTATTAGATGGTTGACTTGTTCCGATGGTTTAATCACCATGTCAACATTGGGAAGATTGAAATTTTTTCCAGTAACCAGTTCCAAATAGGGTTTAACGTCGAGATAACGCATTGAATGTTCTTCATTATTTTCTAATTCATTAAAATTTGTATTATCAGGGAAACGAAGTGTATAGGGTTTATATACTCTTTCAGTACGAGTTTGATTGTGTTGAAAATCAGATGCCATTGAAAACTGTTGATGAGCTGAACCACCGGATAATACTGTATCGTTCAAATGATAGCGAAATGGATCATCGAATAGTGCATTTATATACCCATTATCATTATCAGAAAGAATATTGTGCGGTAGAGTTGCTGCCTCTGTTGACAATTGACTGTCAAAATTATTTCTCGTACGTTGCGGTGGTGTACGATCCATTGACTCAAAACCCGTGCTCATTGTAAGTGTTGATAATGGTGTGTTGTGAGATGGATCAGTAGCAATAGTTAATCTGCCGTTAGTCTGTCCGTTCATTTTTTGATTGTAAAAATTGACCATTTGATCTAACATTTGTCGATCTACACCGGACATTGTGTGTGTGAGAGTGTTTTTTTTTCTTTCCTTTATTTAAGTTAGCAGCGACAGGTCATTTAGAATATAATTATAGTTTACGTAAACTCATACAGTAAAGGTTTTGGTGTTCATTGATACAAGCAACACTGTGAAGAGAAAATTTGTTGATGCGTATCAATATAGTTACAACCTTACGCCAAATAGAATGAAGAAGAGAGAGAGAGAGAAAACTAGTATAAAAAGCATTTTTTCTTTGCGGTTTTGTTTTCCCTGTATGTTATTGTCCTTACATGCAACAATAATTAGTCATTATAGAAGACATTAATTGATAGATTTACAATTCTTTAAATGAGAACACTTTTGAATTGACTATCGAAATTCAGAAGTAAACCAGTGGATCTCTTCTCTTGACCTAATTTTATAATCAGTACCACTTGCAAATGCCCAAAATATCAATAAAATAATTAAAAAGGTTGCAACAGAAAACGAGAAGATAGCTATAATTGTGTACTTCAAGAATAACAGAAAAGATAGTAAATAGGAGACAAATCAATACAACTAGCTGTCTAAAATGTTACATCTAGGATTAACATAAGCACAGTGAATATGAAACAACAACAAAATATTGTGATAACCTTGAAGTGACTTAAATAAGACTGAAGAACGGCAGTGTAAAGACAGTCAGTGTGGAGACATATCCCGATCGGGATATACTCCCAATCGGGATATATATCCCGATTGGGATATCATTTTTTGCAGCAAAATTTTTTTTATATCCCGAACGGGATATAGTTTGAAATTATATCC